TTCAGATCGCAACCAATATTTTTTCGGCATCCACAAAGAAATTCTGTTGTCATGTAATTTTCCTTTTTAACTCTGTGGCTGTGAATGATCACATTGCTTGGCTTTCCAATGTTGAACTGACTTTACATCCATTAAGTAAATCCCACTGACTAGTGGAATATAATTATTTGGCACAACATTGGATTTAATTTATAATGTTTTTATTCATGATCTTATGAAAGAATGTGTTTTGAGAAATACATCCACAGACAACTTTGTCATTATGTGATCATCAAGTGAACATATATAATGTCACATGGATCTGATGTCACAAATCTTATTGGGCTCACCATCACATATGAGATCTGCCATAGACTCAAACATCATTATGTGGAGTGGGAATGTTTTTTGAGGGCATCCATCTGTGTTCATGAAAATGTTGATCTATACTTTGTTTTCTCTAAGGTTTTGTCTGATTTGTGTATTAGGATAAAGCCACCTAGAATGAGTTAGGTTCAGTGGCCTCACTGCCTGGACCTGTGTACAGCTTACTGTATGGATTCAATCTCACCTTCTCCCTGTAGTATTTGAAAAGAACCTTCTAGGAGGAGGACAGCCTTGGCTGAACTTCCCTGTCCTCCCCTTACCTGACCCATACACATGGGTACCCTGGTCCTGTCACAGCTCAGCATTGTCTGTAAGGCTCATGCTCTGACCCCATGGAAGAAGGGGACACTGCCCTGAGTTCTCAGCCAGACTCAGATCCTGGAATTCTGACAGTCACCACCATGTGATGTGAGCAATCTGGGATGTCCTGCAACCACGGATTGCATGTGGGACACACCAGACCATAGGTTCACAAATCCTCACTATATGCTCACCACATAGCTCCAAGTGAACTCCAGATACTGGGATGCAGGACAGTTGACAAGGGAGGGCAAACAGAAATCATCCTTCCTGTACTAGAGACAGGAACACATGGGTCATACTGCCTGCACCCATCACTGGAACTTCTCACCAGGGTTCAGACACTGATGTTTGTAGCTGTGAGTGGAGAGAGATGGAACCTAAAACTGAAGCCAGACACAAATGCTGAATGGGCAGAGCAGAGGCAGGCCTGCCCCGACTGAATTTCCCTCTCCTCACCCCTGAACAAGATCATGGAACTCCACTATGAGAGAGCAAAGGGAATGTGTCATGTCTCTGCCCTCTGCAAGCTTCTCATAGTGGCTCACCTCTCATTTCTTCATCAAAAGGCAACTTAGTCCTTGGGCATATAAGGGGGTGGGTCTCTTGCCTTCTACCTTGGAACTGAATTTGACCCAAAGCAAGTGTCAATGACATAAGAAAAGGTCTAGACATCCCATCCATGCTACTGTTGTAATACAAACAGTCCACCCAGGATTCCTTACTCTGGGAAGACTTACAGATGAACACAACCATTGATGAGAGGAAGAAGTAGAATCCTGGACAGAACCAAGCTGTTCCTGACCCTCCCACTTGTGGTTCTCTTTTCTCCGTAGCATATTTGGAAAATGTCTAATTATGGTACTCGGGATTCAAGACAGATAGAAACTGATTTCTGAAAAAGGAGCAGTCGTATGTATTATTTGGTACAATGCAAAGGCCAATGTGTTGGGAAATAGCAGTTTTGTTTCCTGTGAAACTTTCAGTGTGAAAATACAGACAAGGGTGTTGCATGCCCATCCATGGAATCCTCTTATCTAGTGAGACCTCGAGCTCTCTCCTCTCATGTCCTCCAAATAGTTTGCAGGCAAGGAATGCAAACTAGTACAACCACTCTGGAAAAAAATTTGGAGGCTTCTTAAAAATCTAAACATAGATGTACCATATGATCCAGCAATACCACTCTTGGGGATATACCCAAAAGACTGTGACATAGGTTACTCCAGAGGCACCTGCACACCCATGTTTATAGCGGCACTATTCACAATAGCCAAGTTATGGAAACAGCCAAGATGCCCCAGCACTGACGAATGGATTAAGAAAATGTGGTATCTATACACAATGGAATTTTATGCAGCCATGAAGAAGAACGAAATGTTATCATTCGCTGGTAAATGGATGGAATTGGAGAACATCATTCTGAGTAAGGTTAGCCTGGCCCAAAAGACCAAAAATCGTATGTTCTCCCTCATATGTGGACATTAGATCAAGGGCAAACACAACAAGGGGATTGGACTATAAGCACATGATAGAAGCAAGAGCACACAAGGGAGGGGTGAGGATAGGTAAGACACCTAAAAAATTAGCTAGCATTTGTTGCCCTTAACACAGAGAAACTAAAGCAGATACCTTAAAAGCAACTGAGGCCAATAGGAAAAGGGGAACAGGAACTAGAGAAAAGGTTAGCTCAAAAAGAATTAACCTAGAAGGTAACACCCATGCACAGGAAATCAATGTGAGTCAATGCCCTGTATAGCTATCCTTATCTGAACCAGCAATAACCCTTGTTTCTTCCTATTATTGCTTATACTCTCTCTACAAAAAAATTAGAAATAATGGCAAAATAGTATCTGCTGGGTATTGAGGGGGTAGGGGGGAAAGGGAGGGGGCAGAGTGGGTGGTAAGGGAGGGGGTGGGGGCAGGGGGGAGAAATGACCCAAGCCTTGTATGCACATATGAATAATAAAAGAAGAAAAAAAAAGAAACTATTAAACTTGGGGAAGTTATAAAGCCAAAAAAAAAAAAAATTTTTCAAATTCAGCACCCAGCTCTGCCAGCTCCATAGGGAAGGACAATGAGTTTCTTTATTGGTAAATTGAACATGTACTCTGTGGAGTTTTTTTAGTAAAATGTATATTGTTAACTTACCCATGGAAGAAAAAGCCAGGGGGAGGAACTGCAGAACAGTGAGAAAAATGTCACTCCACATTGCTAGAAGGATGTGACTCAGCATCCCATCAAATACCACACATTCAACTCTCCTGTGGGGAAGACAACACAGGACAGTGCAGCCTGGAATGGGTGTGGGAATCAAGTGCTGATTCCAACTCTAGCTGCTACTCAAGACAATGCACATTACTAAGGAAAATCCACACATCCCTGACCATGTGTGAAGCTATGGGTCTGGCTGAAGTCTATTTTCCAAGGGTGTTAGGGCTGAGGGAGGATAAGAGATGCTTCTCCACTGTCATATGAAAGTCTGTGTCAAACCAGCTTCTGCCATGTGGTCTGCAGGTGAGAAGCTCCTCCATTGAGCAGGATGCCCTGAGTCCATCACAGTGATGGTGCATGTGGTGGAACTCTAATAGCTGTTGTGCTATTGAATAAAACAAGGCATTTCTGAGCATTGAGTATAAATCTATCAGAATTCAGGATCTTAAGTAGAAAATTTCCAAATCTATTGGGCCTGTACTGGAGTTTAAGTACAGCATGTGCCTCTTTGGGTGTGTAATCTCAATTCACTAATTAGGATCCTTGAAAGGCAGCTGGCTCAGATGGGGCCACAAACAAGAGAAAACTTTGCAACAGATACAGATGGTAGAAAACCTGAGCCACAGGATCCAGAAGAGTCCATGTATGGAGCATCTGTGGCAGGAGGCTGTAATGAGTCCCAGCATAGACCTAAAGATTTTAGAGTCACACTGTGACATGTCTTTAGAGAGCCATTCTTCTTTGGGGAAGTGACTTCTGTATTTCTATTGAGCTCCACCTGAGTGTGAATTCCTGGACAAATGTAGCAAAGTCATCATGGAACCAGACGTGACCATCATGGCCCACCCAACCCTAAATTGAACTCAACCATGGTCCATTGTCAGAGAAGTGGCTCATAAGAGATTTGGATGAAGAAGTTCCCAATGGTGTGTGATATACAAAATAGCAAACTCAACTTCTGGGCTGAGACAGGCTCTGTTACAACTTGGGGAAAACCTGTGACCACATGGTGTCAGGGGAACCTGGATGTCCAGAATACCTTGTGAATTGAGAGGTAAGCCCAACACGATGGACAGGCAGACATCATTGGCCTCACACACAATCAAATTCACATCCTCATCCCCAGAACCTATGACACTTTACCTTACCTGACAGAAAGGGACTTTGCCAACTAGGAAGAAAGACTACCCACGGGGTCACAGCAAAATAACTAAGTCCTAGTAAGTGAAAGAGGTAGGCAGGGACTCATCATCAAAGATGGAGTTGAGAAGGTAGAGCAAAGTTGGGAACAATGTGATCGTCTCTGAGATGGGAGGAATGAAGAGGCACAAGATGCACAGCCTGCAGGAGTGTGAAGAGGTGAGTGAGCAGACTCTGCCTGGGCCTCCAGGGAAAACAACCCTGAGGGGAGCTTGACTGTGTCCCTGAGGTCACCTTGCCCTTCAGACCTGGAGAAGAGTAATATAGTGATCTCAGTTGTTTTCAGACACTGTTTGTTACGGCAGAAATAGGAAGGTAATATATTTTGTATGTGTGTTCTGTGTGTGTTTACAACACTAAGTGCTGACAGTGATTTTGGACCATGTCATTCTGTGAGGTACAATGTAGATGATTTTGGGGCAAAGAAGATAAAGCCAGATGGAAGTAGCCAGAGGTCACACACATTACCATTTCAGTCTTATGTGTCTGGCAAGAGACTGGTGTTCACCACACCCCAGTGCTCCGGAAATGAGAACCAGGTACCTATACAGTGCATTTCCATTTCCTGTGGGGCTCCTGATGTCACAACCATGTGCAAGGCAGGACCTGCGTTCTGAGTGGTCACACATCGCTTATCTCTCTGTCTTTCCAACTGGGCACCCTATTCGTATCCATCTGTGCTTCCCTGGTCAATACGAGAATACACTATGGACCCCAAACTCATGGTTCTTCTCTGCCTTGGTGAGATATGAAGAGGGGAAGAAGTTTCTCTAGTCTGGGAGGGATACCACCCCAAAGCCAGGTCTTGAACATCAAAAGACCCCAGAGACACAGGAGACTCTGGAGAGGAGAGGACCTGCTCAGTTTTCAGGTACAAACTTTTTAAATGGAACTCTCTTCCAGGACTAAGTCTGGACTCCTGGATGCGAGTGCTGGCAGGTGAGTTTGTCCTCAAATGTCCCATATTCCTTCCTTTCACTGGGGAAAAGATGACACCCTGGGCATGGAGGATTGAAAACCTCAGGTGTGGCTGACACTGGGTGTGCCCGAATGGTCCTTCCTTGAGACCTGGAATGGAGCAGGGGATTTCCTGAGACCTAGCCTTTCATTTCCTTGAAGAGATCCTCCCCAAACCTACACTCTGGGCTGAGCCAGGCTCTATGAACCCCTGGGGTATGCTGGTGATCATATGGTGTGAAGGCAACCTGGAGGCCCAGGAGTACAATCTGTTTAAAGAGAGAAGCTCAGCACCTTGGGACACACAGAAGCCTCTGCAGTCCAGCAACAAGGCCAAGTTCTCCATCACGTACATGACAGACCTAAATGCAGGGAGATATCACTGTAACTATCACAGCCCTGCTGGTTGGTCAGAGGACAGCGACCCGTTGGAGCTGGTGGTGACAGGTGAGAGGACACTCAAGGGTCCCCACGTCTGGCTCTGCCCCCAGGAATGGGGTCTACTGTCAGGGTTGGCCCGTTTCACAGCCCAGCCCTTCAACTACATGAGAGATGTGAGCCAATTTGACACAGTGACCCCTTCCCTCCTAGGAGCAGCCTACTTCAAACCCAGCCTCTCAGTCCTGTCCAGACCTGTGGTGACCTCAGGAGAGAATGTGATCCTCCAGTGTGGCTCATGGCAGGAATATGACAGGTTCATTCTGACTAAAGAAGGAGAACACAAGGTCTACTGGACCCTTGACTCTCAGAGACATCCCAGTGGGCAATTACAGGCCCTGTTCCCTGTGGGCCCTGTGACTGCCAGTCACAGGTGGATGTTCAGATGCTATGGCCATTACAGTAACCAACCTCAGGTGTGGTCAGAACCCAGCGATCCCCTGGAGCTCCTGGTATCAGGTGAGATTGCTTACTTTTGACCCAATTACTTTTGAATCCCTAACACTTTGTCATTTTCCCTGTTCCCAGTGGGAGGGAAGCTTCTCATCCTGAGTCAAAGACCCAGACTGGAAAGTGTGGCTGGAATCTCCTTTTAGCCCCTGATCTGTCTTCATTCCAGGGATGTCCAGAAAGACATCCCTCATGAACAAACACAGCCCTATCTTGGCCCCTGGAGGGACCTTGAACCTCCAATGTCACTCTGCATGTGGCTATGACATATTTTCTGTGAAAAGAGGAGGAGGCATGACCTCACCCAGCAGCATGTCCAGCAGCCCCAGGCTGGGCTCTCTCAGGACAAATTCCCACTGGGACGTGTGAGCAGCTCCCATGGGGGCTGGTGTAGATGTATGACACACACAGCCAGCCCAATGAGTGTTCAGACACCAATGAACCCCTGAACATCCTAATCAAGGGAAAGAACCCAGCAGGGTCAGTCAGATACCAGACTGCACAGTCCATGCTGGTGGATCCCCAGAGGTGATGGCCAGGATGAGGTCTGTGTGCCTCAGAAAGTGGACATTGAAACTTTGTAGAGGTAGGGAGGGGAAGAGAGAAAAAAGAAACAGAAAGATGTTGATCCTCAGAGATAGGCCTTTTGAGGTCTCAGCTGAGACCAAGGTGGGGCAGCCCCTCACCCTCCATCTTCACTCTAGGCCAGCTTCCTGAGAGACCCTCCCTCTGAGTGCAAGGAGGGCAGCTGATTCCCCACCCCTCTCACCCCACCCATACCTGTCTCAGATCAAAGTGCTGAGTGCTCAGCAGCATCAAGCATAATCCTCCATGACTGCAGTGATCTCAGCACTCAGGGCACTACAGGTGCTCTGGGTTTCAGAGGTCATCCCCCTACTCCTTGTCACTACACCAGTGACCCTCCTAACTCCTGGTCTCAGGTGATGAACCCCTGAGCCTATCCACTCTAAGCTCAAAGGATCACTCAGGGCTCTGTCCCCAGGATAGTTTTTAACTGGGTTGGGAGTGAGGCATCTGGACAGAGTCTCAGCCAGAGGGAGAGTGACCCTCAGATAGGTGTAGGAATGCAGGGGTTCCCAGGCATGTGCACCCCTCCCTTTCATTGGAATCCAGAACATACTATATGGGCATTGGTAATTTCTTGAGGAGGCCACAAGGTAGATGTAGGGGGGTGAACAGAGATGGGATTTTCAGGGGCAGCCCCAATCCCTCACTCTATTCTTGTGCTTCTTCACAGGACCCTCTGGGGTACCAACACCCCTATATTCAGGTCCCATCTCAACCGATGGTGAGTCTCGGGGCCTCAGTCCAAGGGGTTTCTTACATCCCCAGAATGCCTAGAGACATCTCAGACTATCTAAGTCCTTGTTCCTGTGCCAGTTCTGCTTGTGTCCAGGGGTTTTGGGTATCATGGAAAAGTGGGTGGGAACCCCTAAACTATAGGGGCTCAGTGGCTGGTCTGCATGAGGGTGGGTCAAGACAGAGGCAGATGTTGGGGCTAACCCTCAGGGAAATGTGACTAGGCTGAGGTGGGGATCAGGGATCCATGCCTCATCTCGCATGCATCCCCACAGGCCCTGAGCATCAGCCAAGAACCCCCATGGTGTCAGGACCCCAGATAGGTAAGCAAGGAGATAAATTAGGAGGTGGAGTCTAGGTGGGCAGCGACTGAGCTATAAGGTTTGTGTAGAGTCCTATGAGATGTTTACTTGGAAAGCCCCTCTGCCATCTGGGCCTCAGATTCTCCAAGTATAAAGAAGAGGTTTGGACAAGAATTTCAAATTCATTCAGAGCTGACCTTGATTGTGACCTCTTGGGAGAAGAGGCCACCCAGAGGAGACTCCAAGACCCCTTTGTGCAGTGGACCTGTCCCCCCTGCCACAATGATGGTGACATTGTGCAGGAATGGGCACAGGGTCGTGACAGGGACATTCAGATTCTTTCCCTCCTGTTCAGGAGGCTCAGCTCTGGTGCAGCCATCCAGGCTGAAAGTCAGACTCCCTAGGTCCAATCCCAGCTCTGCTGCTCCCTGTTGGGTGACCTAGGGCAGGTGGTTTGCCTCTCTGAGCCTCAGTTTCCTCTTTTGTAGGCTAGCTGGGATGGGGTGGCAATCCCATGTTACAGGAGTGTGAGGGTCAGAGATGAAGGTTACAAATTACCCAGCATGAGCATATCACACAGTAGGTGGTCAGATGAGTGGCATTGTTGCTCATTCACTACTTCACTTGTCCCCAAGGACTGCAGTCATACCAGCTGGTTCTGATCGGGATCTCAGTGGCCTTCCTCCTGCTGCTGCTCCTCCTCTTTCTCTACTGCTTCTGTCATGGACATCAGGGAAAATGCAGGAGGTCAGGTGAGCAGGGAGTGGGTGACATGGGTCGCAGGTGTGGGTGGGCTTCCTCAAGCACTGAACAAGTTTGGGCTCAGGACACCAAGCCCAAGGAACACCATCCAGTTGGGGACAGAACAGGTGAGAAACCCTTCTGCAGAACCACAAATCAGAAAACCTAAAACAGGAATCACTTAAACTTGGTATCTGTGCAAATTTTAGACATTTTCTGAGCTTTTCCACCTCAGGAACAAGTGGACATGAATCCAGTGTGTTTAAAGTCCCTGTCCTCCCCTGCAGTGTCCTGTGAGGTGGGTTTTGCCCTCTGATCTGAGATTCTTCCCTGTAACGCAGCCCACAGAAAGGCCGACTTCCAACATCCTGCAAGGGCCATGGAGCCACTGTCCAGGGACAGAGGACTGCAGAAGAGGTAATTCTTGCTCAAGGACGCAGACTCATATGAATAATAAAAGAAAAATGAAAAAAAAAAAAAGGACGCAGACTCCCACCTGCCTATCATCCCTCACTGATACCTGATGTCCTTGTCTCCCCAGCTCCAGCAAAGCTTCTGAAGTCCTGGATGAAAACCTTTGTGAGAGAAAGAGGGACCCTGGGAGGACAATGCTTGAGTCTCAATACCACAGTGGGAGGAAGTGGGCTTGGGCTGAGTCAGACTGAACCCCACACTGTGAACCTGGGGACATCACCAGAAGATGACACCCAGTTCTGTCCCCACAGATGCAGCTGTGAAGGACACACAGACTGAGTACCAGGTGGAGCTGAACAGTGAGGTGAGACCCCCACAACCATCCATGGCTCCAGGAACTTCTGTTGCCCAATTTCATCCAAGAAACCCTCTCTGACCTCCCCTCATTCAGCACTTTGAGACATCCATTCCTGATGCCTTTCTACTGGGAGCTTCTACCTCCACCTGTTGTGACCTCTCTTTCTCTCCTGGCTTTCTTGTGACCTCATGGCACCTCTCTCCTGTCTGTTTCCTGCCACCTCAACCTCTGTCTGGCTGTTAGTCTGCTCCTGGATCTCAGAAGCACACATGCGTAAATGAGCCCCTCCATTCCTTCCCCCAGTCACGCACAGGAAGCCCCGTCTTGACCAGGCTCACTGCAGGGGCTGCAGATGCAGCAGTGACTGGAATACCCTCTGCCCTAAATTCACCTTGAGATTGGGAGACAACATCAAATAAATGCCACGTGTTAGGAGTGCAAGTCTGTTAAAGAAAATGAAGCAGAGAAAGAGCTTGGGGCAGAGAGGCCAGTGTGAATTACAAGGGGACTCTGATAAGTTGTCTGGTGAGAAGCATGGATGGAGAGGAAGCACAAACAGCTAGTACACTAGTGCCTGCTGGCAGGGGACAGAGCATATACAAAGGTCCTGGGGCAGGAACAAACTTTTTCACATAGGCTACTGTGACTCAAGCCATGTGAACAAGGGTCAGAGTGTTAGGATGAGAGCACAGATTTGTAGGAAGGAAGCTGTCCAACATTCAGAGGTCTTAGGAAGCTTCTGAATAGCCCATCATGAATGGCATAATCTGATTTAAGTTTTGAAAGTATCACTTGGCCCAGCATGAGGAAAACCGGCTGAGGAGGTCCAGATGGCATCAGGAGGGTCTGTCTCTGTCTCACTGTCTCCCTGCTGCAGGGCCCACCTGAGGAAGACTCCCAGGGAGTGACCTACATCCAGGTGAAGCACTCCAGACTCAGGAGGGGAAGGGCTGCCTGTCATTCCCTGATGTCAGGGGAATTCCTGCACACGAAGGACACACTGGTAGATAGGGACAGGCAGGTGGACACTCAAATGGGTCTTGTTTTCCCCAGGCCCTGGCTCTCCAACAGCAAGTGTGCGCCTTCCCTCTCACTGTCTCCCCTCTAGGCTGCTGCTCCTAAGGGTCCTCAGGAAGTGACCTACGCCCAGCTGGCACTCAGACAGGGAAAATTGCACCTCCTTCCTCCCAGTCAGAGGAGCCCAACTGAGACCGGGGAGCTCACTGCTCTGGCGTCCACCACTGGGAGACCATGAATCCTCACTCCATGGAGGGTCCTCAGAGGACATGGAATCTGCCCTGGTGGACATTGACTGATGAGCCACACATCACAGATGTCTCACCTGGCACCAGTAGCATTCAGGAACTTGTGGGTCTAACCTGATTAGACTGTCAGAAACAACTGATATCTTGATATTTGAAAATAAAACAGAAGACTTGTTGATAAACAATGAGTTATGTGAGAAAACAAAACTGGTGAGAGAAGGTTTGAATTGGACAATCGTGTAACCATGGCACATTAAAACATGATGCTGGAAATTTCACAGCCATTAAGAAATAAAGAAATTTTAAAAACCTTAAAGTTAAATGACCCTATCTATCATATTGAGAATATAGAAAGAGAATAGCAATCTCTTCTGAATGAAAGGGAAGGAAAAAATGTCATAGAGTAGCTACTAATGAGGACAAACAGACATACAAATAAATATAAATAATACCCAAAAAGTTCATGCTTCAAACATGAATGACATTTATAATTCTCAGAAACAGTGACCAAGAAAGACAGAGAGCAGGTGAAATTTCCACAGAGGAATGAGACAGAGCATATATTCATGTAAAGAAACAGTGCCATGAACGTTTTATGTTCACAGATTGAAAATGTAAGCAAAGGGACAAAATTTTCCACATTTAGTTTATTGAATAGACATAAGAATAAATAGAAGACGTGGATTGTTTTACAAACCTTAACTGCAGTTGTGCAGGACTTAATGTGAGCGTTATGTTTTGATAAAATGTGAATTTCATCTATCTTCATTGTGTGAAAGTCACAGTTACACAAACCCAGATGGTATAGCTCACTGCACACAGAGGCCACATGGTGTAGCCCACAGCTCCTAGCTGCGAACCTGCATAGATACTATTATGTAACACAGTAGATGGTAAGTTCCAATATTTCTAAAAGTATCTAAACACAGAAAAGGTTGACTAAAAGTTCTAGATTATAGGAATTTTCCAGCCCCATAAAAACCTTGCAGGACTTCCATGCCACACATGGTCCAAATTTGATATATGGCACGTGACTGTACATTGGCTTTGTAGTGAAAAATTTCACCTTAATTCCAATATAGGATGCTTTATTAGTGATGACTTCTAAGTATTTATGCACTTTTGAAACACAGCATATACACACACAAATGCAATACACACTTCCAACCTAAACAATCCCTGAGAATAGAGAAAAGAGGAAATATTCCTAAACACATTTCATCAGGCAATGAAAAAATGAATACAAACCTTGGCAAACACAGTACAATATTGGAAAGTCATAAGAAAATGTTTCCCATGAACTTAGATGTAAATCCTAAAAAATATCACAACTACCCTTCATTTTACTCAAAAAGACAATAAGGACCACACTGCATTGTTTGTTTTGCTAATGGAAAACAAAGAAAGGTTAATTTTAAAAACCAATCACTATTCTTTAATAACCTAACAGAGATCATTAAAATTTTCCATCTCAATCAATGCAAACAGAGCTTTATTTTTACACATGGAACATGTCTTTTTGTACGTATCTATTAGCATAGATTAGTAGTACAGGAGTTTCATGTGACATTTTCATACATGCTTACAATGTATCTTGGTTCAGTTCACCCACCAACAAAATCTTTTTCTAATTATACACAATGGAAAACCTTCATTGCAGAAGCAAACACATTCATACTTAAGATAAGTTCTTTCACTAGAGAGCTTTAAGTTCAAGCATGAAACATTTCCCCTTCTACATGAATTTGATGGCACATACAGAGGTAAGATTTGCTCCCAAAGCTGTGGTCCCATCAGAGAGAAACTGAGTAAACACCGGATACAAACATGGGGGGGAGGACTTCTTTCCTTGTTCCCATGAGAGAACAAGACACACATAAGAACCAGTGATGCTGACGAGAATGAATAAATGAATGAGCAGTAGTTATTGAACATAACTTTTGATTTTCCCTATAGAATTGCTTAATTACAGAAAAGAAGCATCATTCAAAAACAGTATCACAAATGACTGTGTATGTCATTTTATAGGAGATAAAAATTTATTGATATAGCATGCTATAGGAGATTTTCTGGAAGTAAGCAACACACGATTCCTTAGAAATTTGAAGCTGGGTGTCAGAGGCTCACGCCTGTAATCCTAGCTACTCGGGAGGCTGAGATCAGGAATATCTCAGTTCAATGACAGCCCAGGGAAATAGTTTGTGAAACTACATTGCCAAAAAAAAACATATCAAAATGGACTCGAGGTGTGGCTCAAGTGGTAGAGTGCCTGCATTACAAGCGTGAAGCCATGGTTTCAAACTCCAGTTCCAACGTCATCACATGGGATGAACACACTGGGTCTTAAGCAATGGCATGGTGGTATCTTGGCAAACCAGCTCTTAATAAAATCAGTGGTTGGTGCTTTTGCCAATTTCTGTGATGTACACTACTCCCTTCCTTCACTAATTCCAGGTGACAGTGTTTCATCACTGTGTGGAGAGTTGAAATGAAGCACAAAATTGATTTCTCAAGCTAGTGTGAGACAGCGGCAGCCATGTCATTGTCAGCCTCATGTGTGCCTATGTCTCCTTTTACTTAAAGATATGACAACACCGTGCTGCACCATTTCTGCAAAGTTTTTGAGGAATTAGGATATAAGAATCCTAGGACATCAACATTAGGGGGAAAAGAAAAAAAGAGCAACATCAACTTTAGGAGAAAGTTGAGCACATAAACTCCAGTCTCTTCTTATGCATTACAATAACCAATTGGTCTATGGCAGTACCTAGTTGGTTATCACTCATGGGAATTCATTGAAATGATCTACTTTAAAGGAGGGGATGCACTTCTATGGTGTTTATTCATGTACCATACATGAATTAGTCTGACTGTGAACCAGAACACACTCACAGGAAAATCTATAGCAGTGCCCTTCATATTGGACAAAATCTTCCAAAATCAATCAATCTCCTAAAAATGAATGCTAATCCTTTATACCCATGGTGAAATATTACATGAAAAGTTAACACATTAACTCTACAGTAGCAATTGAGACCAGTCGTAAAGCATGATGTTGAATTAACACAGGATGGTTTAAAAGTGTGTGAGAGAATATCCTATTTACATAAATTCAAACAACGATAATACTTATCACTTAGGAAGGCATAGCTATGTTTGACCCTAAATAAAGAAAGGAGGAAATCCCAAGTGATACCAAATTGTGCTGACATATGAGATTAATGTAAAAGTTGTGTTTAAGAGGAAACCTTGGGGACTGATGATTGCTAGTGTCACTGACACCCATGTTTGTTGGGGCACTGTTCACAGTAGCCAAGCTATGGACTCGGCCTAGGTACCCATCAACAGATGAATGGATAAAGAAAACGTGGTATATAAAGAGAATTGAGTTTCATTCACAAATATTCACAAGAATGCAAGGCAACTACTCCATCACTGAGCTATATCCCAACCGCCCCCTCCCTCCTTTTTGTATCTTTTAAAATTTTTATTTAAAATTTTTTTTTTATTTTGGCAGTGCTGGGGTTTGAACTCAAGGCCGCATGCTGGCTAGGCAGGCACAAAAAAAAAGAAATCAGGTCACATTTTTGGAAAATGGATGAACTGGAGACTATCATAGTAAATGAAATAAGCCAGACCCAGGAAGTCAAATATCACTTAGCTTTTCTCACATGCAGAATCTATATTATTAAGACATGAAAGAAGAAGGGGGATGATTTTCAAATGAGGAGGAGTAATAAGACAAGATAATGGGGTAAAAATAATCAGAGTACTTTATATATGAAAATGTGATGATGAAACCCAATGTTTTGCACAATTAATATATACAAATAAAACCAACATATAAACGCATCTAAATAAAAATACAAGAAAAGCTTTTGATTGAATTACAAAATTTGATCATTCTCAACAAAAGGTATTGGTCTAAGATTTGCTCCAGTCCCAGCCATGGTACATGCTGAGAAGAGATGGCTGAATCTGAACAATTTCCAGGAAGCCATCTTCCTCACTCAGCCACATGCAAGGCAATGATAACCTGTGTGTGTCACCTTTCCGTGATGTGGTCAATGGTGCACCAGAGGAGCTGGGCCTCTCACAACATCCCGTGCACTTCTGCTGGCCTGCCACCCCCTATCAGGAGGGTCAGCACCATGTTGCCCACACTCATCACTGTGCTGTGTCCTGGTGAGTCCTGCTGGGAATGAGGGATAGGGAGCATTGGGGTGGAAATGTTGTCCTGGGAGGCTGGCCCTGGCTCAGAAGAGAGCACTGCTTCCACAGTGTGAATGGGCATTGGGGGTAGAGCTGAACTTTAAAGCAGGGTGCAGCTGCCAGAGTTCACACCACAAAGGGACAGAAGGGATACAGGCTTTGGGGTTTGTAAGTACATGCATCATCCATCATGACTCTTTCTTTCCAGGGTTCTTCCTGGTCTAGGGGATCTGGGTACAAGTGGGTGACTCTGTCCCCAAACCTTAGGTCACCATCCACCCCAAGGGGAAAGATACTCCTGTACAGGAAGGCAGACAGCACAGGGTCAAGTCTGATGGGTTGATCATGGAATCTATTGTGAAATGGAAATAGGGGTCCTGGAAACCTGGGCCCTGACTCTGTCCCAGACCCATCCAGCCACTCAGCAGATAAATAAGACAGTTTCCCACTTTCATTCTAAAACAAACAAATGAAAATAAAACCTCTAATTTTGTTCACTTCTTACCCATCCCACATATATTTTTAGGTCTTTATTTCACAAGTATGACTTTTTAGATTGTGTATAACTTAACAAATTATTGAAGTTATTGTTTTCCTATTTTAACTTTCAGGCTGCGCATACAAACTGGCTCCACCATGACACTATTAGTGTTTCTAATATTCACTCTATTTATTTTTTATACTTTTCCAAGGAGGGGGTTATGCTTTCAGAAGGTTTCATGTTTTATTGACATCCGTTCCTTTCAGCTTGAAGAACTCTCTTTAGCATTTCCTGTGA